ATTACATCCTTCTTGACTAAAAATCAATGATATTCAATCAGTGATTTAATAGATTATAAAGTCTATAATACATATAAGTTATACATACAATTCAATGTGTTAGATTATCTATTCAATTTAGATATCTATACTTGGAAATATGAAAGAATTTACATATATGGGTATTGATATATATTCCAGTTTCTATGAATTGTCATAATGGATGTGTCTAGTTTATTTATGGACAAGTCATATTTCCCACTTAAAGTATATACATATATCTATCTATACACCTATTCTATTAGATATTATGACATAATTCTATTTCTATTAAAAATGTCAACAAATTGTATAACTTTGATTTATATTCTAAATTGTATAGTTAAAATTATTGATAAAGAAAGATCTATTCATATATATATTCAATATAATCTATTCGAATTCATCTTTGTAATATACTTATTTACTTACTTACTTACGCCTGTTACTCCTCGTGAAGGAGCATAGGCCGCTCACCAGCATTCTCCATCCAACCCTGTCCTGGGCAATCCTTTCTAGCATCTTTGAAATATAGAATTCCAATGATAACAAAGATGTTTATGTCATAGAATTTCTTAAAAAGGAATCATAGTGTTAAGTTCATATATGATCTGATTCTACTTTTTGAACAAGTCAATTTATCTATTCTTTTTAAGTAGTTACTTTTAGACTTTGTTAATTATTCCCTTATCAACCTTGACCGATAGTGAAGAGAGTGAGCTTTCATTCTCTCTTTCGAAATGCTCTCACATATCCACATGCATATAACCACTATCAGGGAAGACCTACTCACTGTTTTCTTGCATCATTACTGTTCTTGACGAAATTAAGAGGACGAAAAGTGAATGTCCTTTGCTTTAACCGGGTTGGTGGATATGAAGGATCTACCTACGGGAGTTGGAAAAACCTCATTCAAAATCAATGGTGCATATGTTCTCCGGTATCCTGAGGGAACGAATAGAGTATGAACCTATTGTTGGTCAACGGCTACCATGCGACTGCATCTCCTTACGATGATCCAGTGCCTTGTGGATCAGACCTTGAGGTCGAAGGCTTCGGGTGTGACCCCTTAAGAAAACCACCTGCTTCGTTTTGGGCACCCGGTCAGTATCACAGTCCTCACACATATCAAATGAGATTTGTGTGTCGCATATCTGTTTGATGCCTCCTTGTATCAATATCTATGTGTTTAAATAAATAATGATAAATAATCTATGATTAAGTAAATGTCGTATGCGTGAGGAATACTGGATACGCACTGCTGAGGAATCCTATACTAGTAGAAAATGGTTGTCTAATGCTATCAAATTTTCAATGATGATTTAGTTTATATCAACTCATTTATTCAACTATTATATTATTATTGATTGAGATCATGAACCGATTTATTAGCTCTAATGGTCACGGCTTCACACTAAAACTCCGAGAATTTCCTCTCGAAGCTGGTCATTAGTGAACACATGGTTATTATCAGTATAGGGTTGTGGAGATTATTAAGCTATTGATTGAAATCATCAACCGATTGATGTTAGACCACCGTCGAAAACCTGGATGCACTGAATGGTCGTTTCGTCCTATTGTGAGACTCCTCAGCAATGCTCATCCACGATCCCACTCGCGGGATTCAAACTCATGGCTTTCAATCTCACGCGTGAACACTCAACCTACTAGAACACTGAACCAGCTGGTATTCAATGATATTAATGTCTAACTTCAGCCAATCCATGAATTTGCTCGACCATCTTCCATTTTATTGAAGTAGATACTTGTCTCTACCCGACACAGATTAGCCTCACTGGTCACGAGCCCTGCGTTCGTATCCCACGGGCAAGATCATGGGTGCACATTGCTGAATAGTCTCACAGTACGTCAAAATAGCCGTACAGTGCTTCCAGGTTTTCCATGATAGTCTAGCTTCAATTGACTCATAATATCAACATATTACTATCATATCCGCAAAACCCCTTCTGACATTAAATTATTCTTTCATTTATTTTGATTCAAGTTCAAGTGTTTTTAACAGAAATCATACAATTTTGTTTTGTTTTACAGTATCATTTAAATAGATGAAATGATATTGATAATGAATAATATTTATGTTAACATTAATCAATCAATCAATCAATCGATCGATCGATTGATCGATCAATTAATTAATTAATTAATCGATCAATTATTTAAATACACTAATATTTTTTTAAAATAGATTATAATGACACATTTTAATTTATTATGTCCTTATTTAGTACTAATCAATATTATGTCATAATCGATTAATCAATAAATCAATCATAAATAGAAAACAATAAAAATTAAGTTTCTTAATTGATCATAATGATAATGATACTAATTGATAAGGTCATTTGTTGAAAATGAGAATAATAAACAAACTAGAAAAAAGCACAAATGAAAAAAAACAATATAATAATGATCTAATTTTCATCATTATGTTATATATGTATATAGTTATGCGGATTCGAACCAAGTAGTCTACATCTATCAATATGGTTCACATGAGAAGTTAGTGACTTGAAGGACTGATACCATCGTTTTGATGTTGCCACCCCCCATAACTTTCTTTCAATCATTCCCAACACTAGTCAGCATTATGCGTAATAGTAAAATTTGTTGAAATGATCATCAACATTTTACACGTCAATTTAAATGTATTTGATTATGGTTGAATATACTGGGAAACATTCCAACATAATCACGATCAGATTAAAATTTGAATAAAGTTATTTTTTTGTAGTTGAATTTATGAGTTGATTAAAAGTTATACCACTATTGAAAATTTGGAAGGACTGAAAGACCGATTAAGTTCTAGTATGGGACTACACGGTAGTGCGCATCCACGACCTTCCATGTGGAACTCCAAACCCCAGGACCTTCGGTCTTGTTCGCTAACGTTTAAGCTATAGAACACTGATCTGACATTCAATGGTGTTAATGTCTAACTTCAATCGATTCATATATCATACAACCCTTCATACATTGTATAAGGTGGATAAGTGTCTCACATTCGACATGAATTAGACTCCATTGGTCACGTCTTCTCACTAGAACTTCAAAAAAACTTATCTTGAAGCTAGTCACTAGTGAGAACATGTTATTATTTTTTTTTACCGAAATACGGGTAAATGTTCAACCATTCTATTCAAAATAAATTCTCACTCACTTCTGTCGTGGTTTGAAACTATTGAACTTAAGAAATGTTCCATATTAACATGATACTTAATCTAATCACTCATTTTTTCCATTATTCAAGTAAGCATTGATATTTCCCGTTGAATTGTTTTTATAGATTTAGTCAATATAAAGTGAATTTTTATCATAGACTAACTTCAATTGAAGGACTATTGAGAGCTAGACGTACTAGAGACTTGTTTCATCACGTATTCGATATACGCTAACGACACTTATAACTAATTTTGCTAAAACCAGTAGATGTATTAATTGTTTTTCTTCTCCTGAAAGGTAACGGCAAGATTAAAATTTATGAAGGAGCCAATCAGAAGCGTTTTGAGGGAATTTTATGTCACAGCGCCAATTTTAGCATCTGATAATCACGTACAACTGGTTTACAGCTGATTTTAGAGAAAACGTGAAAACTGAGTGGCTTCAACAAATGGGATTGCTAAGAAGTTCCTTTATTTGTGTTTGCTGTAGTCAAATGACTTGTAGACCTTGTGCAGACTACCGTGATGATGTTGCCTTTCAGTATGATGTGTGTTCGAGTAAAAGATCTGTTAGAATAGAAATCTTCTCGCTCGATCCAGATTGAGAATAAGACAAATTATGACAATAATTGCGAACTCGATAATAAAAGGAACAGTAACACTGGCTGCAGCCAGGTACTACAACATATGCGGATGATTGGAGAGCGTACATAGACTTGGTTATGTGCATTATGTCGTTATCCACAAGCAACATTTTGTAAAACGGAACAACCGGAGTGCACACAAACAATATTGAAGCTATGTGGTCTAGGTTGAAAACATTTTCGCGATCTTATCATGGCTCCAGTAGTCGTTTATTATTTAACCACATTGATGATTTCCTCTACCGTATACATTACGATTTTAAAACCTCTAAATCACTTTCTAACGTTGACAAATTTTGAACCATTCAAAAGAAGTGTATCCACTTTAATTCTTTGCTTTTGTATATTTTTACTCTGTACTGTTTTCTGATTGGTTAACAGTTCTCAAGGTCACTTGAGTTTCGTTCTAAGGTTGTCCATAAATTATAGTCTCGCCGATTACTGATAGGAAGATCATGACCTAGGTCACATGTTATGTATCGCTAGACAGCAAGATGACAATGTGATCATGAAAGAGCTGGAGCTCTCTAGATGATGATACCCTACCAGGTTACGCAGATTCCCAGTATGAGATGTTACCATTGGATCTTTAGGGATGAGACCGATCTGTTATAGGATTGGAACATTTACAGTTATTGGTTGACATCATGAACCGATTGATGTTAGATCACCATTGAAAACCTGGAAGCACTGAATGGCCTTTTCGTCCTGTTGTGGGACACTTCAGCAGTACGCATCCTCGATCCCACCAGGGCCTTCAGTCTCATGTGAGAACGCTTAACCTACTGAACCACTGACCTGGCATCCAGTGGTGTTAATGTCTAACCTCAATCAATTCATGAAATTGCGCTACCATCTTCCATAGTACTGAGGTAGATACCTGTCTCTACCCGACATGGATTAGCTCCACTGGTCGCGGCTTCTTTACTAGAACTCCGAGAATTCCTTCACAAAGCTAGTCATTAGTGAACATATGTTAATTATAGTTAATTAGTCAGCAATTTCATGTTTTTTTTTTAAAGTTCTCGCATCACTTAAACATGTGAAGTTCTTAAATGTCTTAGATATTTCTATACTCTTTTTTTAAAGTCAATTATTATGTATTCAGTTAATATTTTGTTTATTTATTCATTTCTTAACATTCATTTGATTATTTCAGAATTTCAATTCATATTCAATATTAGAATACGAAATAAACATGAATAATACCGTTAACCTCATCAAATCAGAGAATTTATCACCTTCAGAGCCTTCAAATGAAACGATTGTAAGATGTATTCATCGTAAGCATAAATATTGTTATGACAATGTCATTAATGAAAATAATCATGAATCAAGTCAAATGAAACGTCAATGTTTAACATCTAATCATAATTTAAATTCTATTACTGATCATATAAATATCAAATATCAATTTAATTATTGGCTTGTATTTACTATAGTAACAACTGGTAAACAAGGTAATGAATTAGGATCAGATCAAACACCATTAATTCAATTCAATGGGATATTAGGTAATTTTTATGAGAATAAAGTAAGTTGAATCAAAGTACTTTTCTTTTTAAAAATAAGTTTCATGTTTGAAATAGTATCTATTGAATTCTGTATGAATTCTGATATATTAAGTTTACAAATAAAATAGAATGAATCGTTTAACTTGTAGATCATTGAGCTGACATTTAATGGTGTTAATGTCTAACTTCAATTGATTGATGATCTTGTGCAACCCTTCATTGATTGTTTCAAACTCAACATGAATTAGAATCTAGTGATTATGATTTTTTTCACTAGAACTTGTTGTGTGGCGTCAAGTCGTGGTTGACTATAATCACCACTACAGGAAGATTACGTGTCAGTTAACTGATAACATCCCCTGTAAGCCAAATATCAGAAGGCAGTTGATGACTATAGTCAAGATGTATTTGTTGGCGATCTCGTGGTATCGAAAGAATACCGAGATCGTGTCAAAGTAGTACAAGTGTGGTTACTGAGCGTAACCGAATTCGTACAAGGTCACAATCAATGGAAGAATGTGTTTTGGTTACAGTTAAACAAACAAGTACGGTAAAACAACCCGTAGTACAATTGGTTATAATAATAATTGTTTCCATAACACCAATCGCGTTCTCTTGGTAAAAGTAGGTCACTACAATCTTAAAAAAACCCTTCTTTAAGCTAGTTACTAGTGAAAACATATTATTTTTTTTAACGAATTCTGCATCAGTTCTATATAATCACATGTGTAATCGCTATGGGTATTTTCGAGACAAGGAGAAATCTTGTTGAGTATTGTGTTGTTTTTTACTCCTGACATCCCTTTCAACACATTCTGTTAATTTCGTTCCATAAACTTAGACTGTCAAAACCACATTAAAAATGGAGAGAATGGAGGTGATACCATGGTAATTGGTATATAGTTAGTCGAAAATCACGAAATATTGACTTAGTTGACTTAGTGAAAAGCAACCCTACATACTTTACTCTGACATAAATAATCTGAAATGTATGATGACTACCAGTGGACATGTGTTTCGTCTTATTTGAGACTGGTTAGCCAGATTTACCTGAATTCCAGAGTTGATAATCAGTTTTTGACTCAAATCCATTACCTTCTGATTAAAACTCTATCATGTTATGTACCCAGTACTCCCTGAACTCTACTGTTAACTCCTATCGAACTTTGCTTAGAATGCTTTAAACTTAATGGTAGCGTCGAAGCAATTCACAAATAAGGTTTTATGAAAGTTTTTTTCTTCTTTAATTACATATTTTTGAATAAAATTACAGGTCCTACAGAACATCTTTAGGTGTTCAAATCAAGTTTAAATTGAATGCTTTACAGAAAATGTAAAGAAATCGTTTGATTGACATTTCGTTACTTAATAGTTTAATTCATGAGTCATTTGAAGCTAGACCATCATAGAAAACCTAGAAGCACTGGATGTCTGTTTCGTCGTAGTAAGAGACGTGGTTTGGTTGAAGTTAGACATTAATACCATTAGATGTCGGCCGGTCAGTGATCCAGTGGTTAAGCGTTCGTGTTTGAGACTGATAGGTCCTAGGTTCGAATCTCATAAACTTGGGATTGTGGATGCACACTACTGAAGTATCCCATACTAGAACAAAACAATCATCCAATACTTTCAAGTTTTCCATAATGATCTAGCTTCAATTGATTCATGTTCTCAACGATTAAAACTCACTCCATGGAAATCCTTCTTTGACTGCGTTTATTTAATACAAATTATAGCTTCATCAATATAAGAATTTACCACGAAAACATTTATTCTCAACTTTATCTATCTATCATAAGTCAATCAAATCTCTTCAATATTGATGTATATTAAGTGATGAACTTGTGACAAAAAGATAATAGACAAGTGATTATAGATTCAATCAAATGGATTGGTTGTATAAAACAGCATGTCACTTTTTTAAAAATTTAATTGTGATGTGAATGTTTCAATTAGGTCACATTTTGTTTGAATCATTCAATTTTTTTTATAGTTCAATTATTTGAATTCAATTTTATATGGTCAATATGTAATTTTATGATCTGATTATGTAATATGTAGATCTATCTAACTAAACGGATAATCATCATGTGCTCATTAGAGTGATTAGCTTTGTGAGAAAATTTTTGAAGTTCTAGTGAGAAGGTGTAACCAGTGGAGACAAGTATCTACCTCAGTAAAATGGAAGATGGTCGAGCAACTTCATGGATTGGTTGAGGTTGAATGCTGGCTGGTTCAATGTTCTAGTAGGTTGAACATTGGCACGTGAGACTGAAGACCCTGGGTTTGAATCCTGCGAGTGGGATCGTAAATGCGCACTGCTGAAGAGTCTCGCAACAGGACAAAACAGCCATCTAATGCTTTCAGGTTTTGAAAGGTGGCCTAACATCAATCAGTTCATGTTCTCAATCAATAACTTAACAATCTCTACAACCCTTAAACTGATGTGTTAGATTTCTTGATAATTGAATAAAAGATGGCAAGATTATAATTTATGAACGAACCAATCAGGTATAACAGATCTTGAATGTTGGTGAGAAATTCACTCATCCATTTCCCTAAATTAGATTTTTGGTATTATAGCCAATGTTATTTCGTGATGAAAATTCTAAATCTATTTCTCAAGTTTCATCATCAATTGTAAATCATTACAGGTTGAAATCATGAGTCAGTTGAAGCTAGACCACCATTGAAAACCTGGAAGCACTGGACGGCCGTTTCGTCCTGGTATGGGACTCCTCAGCAGTGCGCATCCACGATCCCGAACCACGCGTGGCTTGAACTCAGGACCTACTGGCTTCGCGCGCGAGCACTTAACCACTAGGCCACTGAACCGGCATCCAACGGTGTTAATGTCTAACTTCAACCAATCCACGAAGTTGCGCCACCATACACCATTGTCTTCAGTGAGTTGTTATCTCACAACAGACCTGGTTGAACTCCACTGGTAACGACTTCTCACTAGAACTCCAGGAGTTTTTCTTCAAGTCAGTCACTAGTGAGAAGTTGATTATTATTATCAGAATGGGTTTTGTGGAGAGTTTAAGAAATTTCACAGGTTGAAATCATGAAATTTCTTAAACTCTCCACAAAACCCATTCTGTAAATCATTATTTTAATTCCTCATTTAGTCCTAGTTATTAGGTGGATATTCTTAAAGATAGTCTAACATTGCTCAAAAGTCGTCCATACATTATAATCTTATTCAGAAGATGTTAATTTGCTTTGATTATGATTTGATTAAATGTTTAGTTTAATAAATAGTGTACCTTAATCTGTATATTTTTGTGAATACAATTCGATTGTTAATCTTTCTGTAATATGTTCAATGTTTTAAAACAACAACAAAAAAATATGCTGATTGTTGTGTTGGTTACTAAATGTTAAACCCACATTACTTTATTCTACCTTTTGGACAAGTCAATTTATTTATTCTTTATATGAGTGTATATATATATGTGTACCCTTTTTATCCTACTCATCATATATCTGTAGTTTATTTTTATGTGACCAAATATTGATTACTGCTTGATGAAATGAAGATGACTTACATGACTTCTTCACTGTACGTCATTTTGTTTCTCTCTTACTTCTCTTCGCTTCCTTTGCTTCATCTTTCTGATTATTTGTCTTAGATTATTACGTGTACAAAATATGTGTATTCAAACATCCATTCTCGTATTGTCTTGATTATATCATTTTAGTTACATGTTTTTATTAAAGTTGAATAGTAACAAGTAATGCATACAGGTAAAGCTGGGTAATAAGTACCACATAGAATGAAACGTACGTTCTGAATTGTACTATTAGGTAAATCTCAATACATAGTGCTCGCAGTGTCGAGTCACCTAGACTGATGGCCACATTGCAACATGATCGATAGCATTCGATCTGTACTAATAAGGACTAGACAAGCATGACATTGATCACCATCCAGTGATCAATCAATTGTGACTACTAGGTAATGTCTGACTTTATTGAATGACCATCTCAAGTTTGTTGACTCATGATGAACATTAACTAAAATTAAACTTGTTATTACGTACACTCAAAAAAAAAATAAATACCTTAGTTACTTGACTAGCTTAGCGGTTTGTTTTCTTTTTATCTTGTCATATATATTTTCCTTGAGGTCTATATGTACCTTCATGTATCCTTATCGATGTGTTTACTCACATTCATTACTGATCTATTGGCATATCAACTGAACTTGTTAGAATCAAATAATGTATAAACGTTTCAAGTAAACAATATCCAATTGAATTTAAACTTCAACCTATTGCACAAGCAATTGGTTATCAACACTCAGTGGGTAGTGCGATGGCATTTGAAGCGAGTGATACTGTGTTCAAGCCACAGAGTGAATATCAATTCTGGAATTTGTGACTCATCCAGCCAGTGAGTCCTAAATAGAATGAAACCCGTGTCCTGGATTCCACTGCCACTATGTCACTATTCATCTTTGTCTATATAGCTTGTGACTTAAGGCAATATAGAGAAAAATTCGAACAGGATGTATATATGCCAATAAGAGACTGATCAATTGCAATCATAAACAACATTGGGAAGATATAAGCAAAAAAAACATCAAATGAATGTAGATAATATTTATTGATTTAGCAATTACTTTAACTCATAAAAATTCATACTCAACTTTGGAACGGATTACAAATAGTTAACAGTCATATGAAATGTCATATCAGAATTGAATGATTTATCAATAACATTTAGATGCATTCTACATTCTATGAATACAGATCATTTATAGCTCTTATATAATATTATTTAATGACAAAAGGATATAACTACTTAGGTTTGATCATTTCCTACGATCCTCTGAACTTATTACAATCAATAGTTGGATAAAATCCAAGATGGATTTCAATAATGTGCTACTGAACATTTCAATTCATATTTCGTGATTAATATATAGTATACATTTAAAAATCAATTGCTTACAGTGAATCAAGTTTCAGATTACCGGATACAGAGATATTTCAATAGTGGAACAATCATCCAAGAAATAGAATATTTAAATAGTTTTCATTGAAACCATGAACCGACCAATGTTAGACCATCAGTGAAAATCTGAAAGCATTGGACAGCTGTTTCTATCAAATATGAGGATCTTCACCAGTAAACATACAAAATTCCGTATGCGGAACTCACCCAGGACCCCCAGTTTTGTGCGAATGCTTAATCTCTAGATCACTGGGTTCAAATCCTGAGTGAAGGATCATGAAAACATACTCCTAAGGAGTCTCACACTAGGACGAAACTGTTGTCCAGTGCTTCTAGATTTTTAGCAGTGGTCTAACATTGATCGATGCATGATCCCAATAAAATTCATCAGACTTTACAATCGCATACTGAAAGTTAAATAATTTTGTTTAAATATTATGCATAACGTGATGAATTTATGGATTTGTATCTTCCATTAGAAAATAGACTACATCAGACTGTAATATTTCATATATATTATGTGTAGTATCTGGTAAAAGCTAATAAAACGAGAACATCAAGATGTAGCTGTTTTACTCAAAATCAAACAGTGTTGATATTAGTCATTTAGAGTACTGAATTTTATTGAGTTAGTTCATTAGTTACAACGTAGGATCAGGTACATAAATGCATCGATTCAACTTGCCATGCCTCATTTGTACAGCAAGACGAACACCGGATTCATAAGAACAATTAACTTAATGGTGGTAATAGATAAAAGAAAGATTCCATATAAGGTTATAGTACGGGAAGAAAGAATTAGTTGATAGGAAGAAAGATATGGAGCGATTTTAATCTCCATAGTTTAAGGGAAGACAGAGAGTGTACACACCTACGCCATTGTGATCGATTCTGAGCTATGTCACTCACAGTCTCCAACCATTGGCTACGATAGTCGTGCTGACCCCAACCAAATAGTCTTCATCTACCAACATGCCTAAGACTAGAAGTTAATGACTTCAAGCACTGATGCCACATTTTTTGTTTGGCAGACATATTCTCTTTTTGATTTAATCTAATTGGTTCTAACATTTCCATTAGTTTTATCAGGATGGGTTTTGTGGAGATTTTAGAAATTTTACAGATTGAAATCATGAGTCAGTTGAAGCTAGACCACCATTGAAAACCTGGAAGCACTGGAAGGCCACAAAACCCATCCTGATAATAATCAACTGCTCACTAGTGACTGACTTCAGGTAAAACTCCCGAAGTTCTAGTGAGAAGTCGTTACCAGTGAAGTTCAACCAGGTCTGTTGTGAGATAGGAACTCACTGAAGACAATGGTGTATGGTGGCGCAACTTTGTGGATTGGTTGAAGTTAGACATTAACACCGTTGGATGCTGTCCAGCTCAGTAGTCTAGAGATTAATCGCTCGCAAAGCTTATAGGTCCTGGATTCGAACATTTTTAATTCTTATATCTTTTTATTATCTTCATAAATTTCTAGATTGTTGATCGGATCAAAATCTCTATTCACCCTGAAAATTTTACACGAATCTATCGATCTTCTGTAGATTTAATCAATCATAAATCTCAATTACAATCAACTATTAGCGCGAATAATGAATTGAAATTAGATTCTTATTTTCTATCTCATTGTAATGGTTGCAATAATAAATTCAATGAATTATCATCTACTAATACAGGGAAATTTATCCCTTCAGTTGAATCAACTAAATACACCACAGTAGTAAATGGTGTGAATATTTCTAAAGAAGCATTAGAAGCTGCTGGTTTATCGGATATATCAGAATATGAAGTGCATGGTTTAAGCTTTAAAGAATCAATCATTAAGGTGAGATAATCTTTATCGTTAAATGATGTAATTATCTTCTCAAATATTAAATAAGGTTTTATTTTCATGTGAGAATAGTCCACGGGTGAATTCGAGGAAGCTCTAAGAAGCTCAAAAAGAGCTGAAGACATTCCATTCAGTCAGTTTTCTTGGAAGAATATTCCAGAATCACCACGTGTAGCTTCCCTATTGGACAAATGCTAAGAACTCCCTGTATGCGGATTGGATAACTATAATGATGATTTCGATTTTCACTAAGAATTATACATACCTGACTGTTTTTGTACTATAATTGACACTAATTGGAATAACATTCCTTTCACTTGTCTTCTGTCTTCTCATTTGCGACTTTGGAGTGTTATAGCGTTCGAGTGCTCAAGTTACACATGGTATGTTAAGCATCTAAGCTCTAGATATAACAACCGGCGATGGGGATGGGATATCTTTGGCCCTTTCTGAGCTTCTTAAAGCTTCCTTAAATTCACCCATGAACCGAGTGCTCAAGTTATACGCGATATATTAGGAATTTAAGCTCTAGATATAACATTTCAATTGATATAATTATACATAAAGAATTCTAGTTATTCCGTACGTGTAAGTTAATCTAGGTGAAAGTTTTCCTACAACAACAATGAACGACTGAATAAAAAGATATTAAGTTGTAGTGCTTCAGTAGTCAATGCTGCATATTACTTACTTATGACTGTTACACCTCGTGAAGGAGCATAGGCCGCCCACCAACAATGTTACATATTACAAGAGAGTTAATAGATGTCGACTGATTAATTATATCTATGTAATTTTTTATGTTAGTAATTATAATCTAGCGGTTTTTAATCCTTATAAAATCTACATTATTCAATAAGTTAATCAACATTTAGTTAATATCAGTATAGGGTTGTGGAGATTGTTGAATTTAAATCGATATGATCAATGGATCAATGTTAGACTACTATTGGAAGCACTGGACAGCTGTTTCGTCCTAGTACGGGACACCTCAGAAGTGTACATCCACGATTCCGCATGCAGGACTTGAACCCAGAACTTTCGGTCTGACGAGCGAACACTTAACCTCTAGATCATTGAACCGGAATCTGACAGTGTTAATGTCTAACTAATAACTGGAGAACTTAGTAAATTATAACTTTTAAGAGATATTATTAACCTTTCATCTTACTGATGAGGTCCTAAAGTCTTAGTACGTACTCTGTTCAAAGTAAAGTATAAATTTTCAATATCATCTATTTCATTTGGATTAAAAGTACACTAATGCTGTTTGAATCTGTTAAAATATACTTTTTTTTCACGCACTCTTATATTGATCTATTCATCACATGAACAACAATTAGTATACTCTAAATCGTTTGACTAGAGTTGAGTGTTCTAAATAATAATCTATTTTCTGGTGATGATTTTTGTAGCGAAATCACCACTGGGTAGTGATCAAATGTCATGTGTGTCAGATCCTTCTTAGTGTAGATCGAATCCTATCGACCAAGTAGCAATGTGGTCACCAGTCTAGGTGGCTCAACATTGCGTGCATTATATTACGCTAAGATGGTGTTTGGAGGTAGTCAATACGAAACCCTGAACCTAGGTCGGGTATGGATAGCTTAGTGGTAACGTCTCTGACTGTGAAGTTGGGTGACACGGGATCGAATCCTTCATGAAGCATCAGTTCCCCCAAGACTACAAGTAAATCTTGCTGTGACGAGTACCAGATAGCACGAAACCTACGTCCAGAGTTTCCTGTTGAAACTTTGAATAATCAATGAATAAGACTTTACATTCAGAATTTAATTCTTCCAATTGCAATATTCAAATAATGATCATGTCAATGTGATAAATTGAATCGTTTGAAACACAATAAAAATAGATTAAATCTTTATATTTAGTTTGACACCAGACGACCATTTTTACAGTCCATTTTTTTTCCTTTCAATATACTTTACATTTTTAAAAAGTTTGGAATATTTTCTAGTATTCTTCCATTATAACCATCTATTGTATTTAATCTTGATTAATGAACGAATTCTGAATTATATTACTCTATAATATCAGTAACTTTTGTCGACATTTTAATTACAGATTTCCAATTGGTTAAAAGATCATGGAGTATTAGATGATCTATTGTCGACTGACAAGTCTAATATCTTACTTATTGCAGAAAATCATCAATCTGTACGAAATGTTATACATGCTGAAGCTGCCTATCGTAATATAGATCATGAATTGATTAATTGTTCACCTTGGTCAATGTATATAGATTTGATTGAATTTTGTCAACAATCACTCTTTCAGTCCAATAGTTCTAATGATGATAATAATGTTAGCAATAATGGAATCACTGAACAGAAAGAAAATAAAGAACATCATCTTCATAGTATATTTGATGCTGCTCATGGTGAGTACAGATTTAGTTTTTAAAAAGTTGTTTCATTTCCTTCATCATAACCTTGACCAAGTGGTTAGTTAGATAGATGATCACTAAAAAAATAGAATGGCAGTGAAACATGACCAGTAAGAGTAGAGGATATTCGTAGCTTACTAGTATTTGATCATAGGTATCTTCGAAACATTGCTCGTATATCCTGGGACCATCGAGTAAGTAATGCAGTTGTTAGGAAACGGGTACTAGGTGAGGAGGTCAGATCCACTGATGAAGTAGTGGAAATTCATCAGTTGAGATGGCTGGGACACGTGTTACATATGCTGAACAACCGACTGCCTCGACGTGCGATGTTTTATGGTATAGGAGTAGATTGGAAGAGAACTTTAACCATAAGGATTTATTAATCAATCTCGATATCTGATCTGAAATCGTAAATTGACGTCCGCTCATTACGAAAATCTCATTCACTCTTCTAATATATATGGAGTTTCAAATAGTCGTTAATGAATATAGACAGTAACTGTTAAGATTCAAGATGATGATTTTAGGCATTTCACTTCTGATTGATAATACATACTACTTATATCTATCGACATCAGTAGCATACATCACACTTATAAGTAGTAGGTTGAATGTTTAGACGTTTTGCAACATAGTGTACGTTGCTAATTCAGTGAATAAATAAACTTTCTCAAGTTCATACCAGTTTAAATACTAGTACTAGGATCATGTTAACATCAACTTTGATTTCATTTTCCACTCACTGCCTTCTCGTGGCGAGGAGTGTTGTTTACGAAATTGAGAGAACGAAAAGCGAATATCCAGCGCATTATTCGGGTTGGTTAATATGGAGGATCCACTTAGAGGAGTTAGAAAACCCATAATACAAACCAATGATGCACATAGGCTCCAGGATCCTGAGCGAACAAATGGCATTTGTGAAACTATTGTTGGCCATTGTATTCTATGCGATTACATCTCCTGACGTTGCTCCACTGCCTTCTGGATTAAACCGAGAATGTGCATTTCGTTCTACTTAGGATTCGTCAGCTGGATGTAACGGTATCTCAGAGTTGGTGTTCACTCTACGATTCCAACATAAACTGGGAGATGCAGGCACATATAGCTGACGAGTTTTAAATAAGATGAAATGTGCGCCAAACTGGATTCCATTGCTAGCCACCATCATCCATCTTTGCTCGAAAAGCTTGTGACTTAAGTAATATCGAGGCTATACCCATAGTATACACATGTACCAATAAGTGAATGATCAAATACAGCCCTAAACAACAATGGGAAGTTTCAAGTAAACAATACCAAGTGAATTTAAACTTCAACTCATTGCACAAGCAAGTGACTATCAGAACTTAGTAGCTAAGTGTATAATGCGATGACATTTGAACCGGATGAGTTCGAGTCCTACTACCTACTATAGCTTTGGCGGAGGAAAATCCTATCTGTATCACCTTACCATTTGGAGGTGATTCAAATAGCCTTTTTACTGAAACAAAAACTTAAGTCAGTCATTTACAAGACATATTGTGCAGCGATGGTCATTATCAAGGAAACAACAAGATTTATGCTTCATCGAAAACCTAAAAGACCACTGTGTTTATCAATTTAAATGTTTGTGTGTGTGTGTGGTTACACATACATAAGGTGAAGGGGTAATCGTGATCTGAAAATGAGGGTGTGTGAACATGAAACCTAAATGATTGCAGAAACAAATAGAATCATCAAATGACCCAATAAGAGTAGAGGATAAACATCCATCATCATTGTCAAACACATAATTGAAACAGGTCATATGATTGATCTTAACTCGACTTTTGATGGTGTTGTACAAAAGTGTCAAAAGGTGTATACTAAAGTTTATTAAATCCTTAACCATACGATAATCCAAACCTCCTCTGTGTATTCAAAAACAGTTTGTTCTCACGTTAACCATACCCTGGTAATATTAGTGATGAGTTTCCACATTGTCTTTCATATGATCTTGTTCATTATCCTTGTCTTCTCTTAACCTTCATTTCTAGTCTAGTCTAGTCTAGTTTTCAACGAGTATATTATGTATGATCAGATTGTTTGAAATGTATCGCACAAATATATTACCAGGTTTCAGTAGATAAGTTTACAACGCAACGGCGTTTGAAGTGAACGGTACTGAGTTTGAATCCCAGAGTGCACAACAAGACTGAGATGCAGATACATCTAGCTGACGAGTCACAAATAAGATGGAACGCGTGTCGAACTGAATTTCCTTGCTAGCCACTATCATCCATCTTTGCTTATAAAGCTTGTAACTTAAGACTATATTGAGGCAATTCGCATAGGATGCACATATACCAACAAGCGATTGATCGATTGCAGTCCGAATATATTTTTTTCAATGTTCAATAATTTAATCAAGGCAAAAATATTGTTTATTTCATGCTGTTTATTGAATTGATTTTCCAACTGTGTCATCAAAAAAGAGAGAGAAAAGAACATCAGTTGGATAAGATAATTATTTGATAGTCAATCCGCTTAATAATGTAGGGATAATAATTGAAGATAATGAAAAAAAGGAATGAACAAAAGCTTTGCCCTGATTTCTATCCACTGACCATAATTCAGATTATTGAAAACCAAGAGATCTGATCGCTTGTTAGACCTCTATTCGATTTTATCAAAGAAAAGTGCTCCCAAATGTTCTGGTACGACCGAGGGTCGGGAGAGTTAGCCCTCCCTCTCGAATTACTTTCACATGGCCATGTGTATACAGTCACTACCAGGGAAATCTTACTCAATGTCTTTTTGCGGCATTACTGTTGTTTACGAAATTGAGAGGACGAAAATTGAATGTCCGGTGTTTTAACCGGGTTGGTGGACACGGAGGGCACTCCTAGAAAAGTTGGAAATCTCTGATTCCAAACTAAAGGTTTACATGGGCTCCAGGATCCTCAGGGGACAAACGGAGTATAAATAAATTATTGGGCACTGGCTACAATGAGACTGCATTTCCTGACGTTGCCTTGTGGATTAGACCATTAGGTTGAAGACTCTGGGTGTGGCTATCTAAGAAATTCACCTACTTCGGTCTGGGCACTCGAGCAGTATCACGGCCCACACACAAATCAAGTGATTTGTATGGTGCATATGTATTCGATGCCCCTTTGTAACAATAATTACATGTTCAAATAAGTAAAATTTATAGAGACCTTTTCACGCTAATCATTGGTCTATGTATCTTTGTATATGAGTGGTTGGTAGGATATGGAAACTGTCATTTAGAAGTTCTATCTTCTTGCTTCAATAATAAAAGGATATCACTCTATAGACGTTTTGTTTAATATCATTTGAATGTGTTATGCTCGCTACTTGATTAACGCAGAATACAGTATACAACTACGGCACTCAAACGTATAGAACCCTTATAGTCGCAAATCAAAAGACAAGAACACTGGAGTAGTGTTTGTTGGGTAAGAATAAAAATGTGCAGAAAATCATGGGTATTCATAAATATTAGTGTTTGTTATATCAACCAATCCACAAAGAGACATGTTATGCTACTATCTGATAGTAGCATACTACATTGATATTCTAAAAAGCCCCATCACGTTCTGATTGAATGGAAACTTTTTATCTCCTTTAGAGCTTCTAAAGTCTCTGTGGTAGTTCTTGAAAATCATCCTAATACAATGGAGAAAAAATAGAATGAATAATTTAGTCTGGATTGTATCTAATTGAATTCAACTACTTCATGATATACTTAAAAATCACTTCGTTTAAAATGACTTGTCTAATCAAATAACATCGCTTGTCATCATCATATGATATGTTTAATTTGAATGCTTACATTTAATCCGTTACATGTTTGGTGACTGTAATTATTGGAATTGATATTTGATAAGTCTTGTTAGATTTAACATTTTACCATTGAATAAGCATATAGTGACATGTCTAGAGAATAGAATATATTATATCAGAAGGGTTTTGTGGATATTATAGTAATTTCAGCGGTTGAGATCATGAGTCAATTAAAGCTAGACCACCATGAAAAACCTGGAAACACTGGACGGTTGTTTCTTACTATCGTAGGACTCCTCAGAAGTTTGCATCCACGATCTCGCCTCGCAAGATTATAGGCCAGGACATATGAGTCTCGTGCATGGGCGATTAACCTCTACAACACTGAGCTGGTCGGCATCCAATGGTGTTAATGTCTAACTTGAATTAATCCATGAAGTTGAGAAACACATCCAGCAGTCTCTTCAATGAGTTACTATCTCACAACAGACCCAGTCTACCTTCAATTGACTCATGATCTTAACTCGTAAAATTACTATAATATTCATAAAAACCCCTTCTGATACGAATCAATGTATGCTCACTAGTGACTGGTTTCAAGAGGTATTTTATGGAGTTCTAGTGAGAAGCAATGACCAATGGAGTTCAATCGGGTCTGTTGTGAGATAGTAACTCACTGAAGACAATGATAGACAGTGATTCAATTTCGTGGATTAGTTGAAGTTAGACATTAACACCGTTAGGTGCCGACCGGCTCATTAGTAACCTAGAGGTTAAGCGTTCGTGCGCGAGACTAATAGGTCCTTGGTTTGAATCTCGCAAGGTGAGATCATGGATGCGCACTGCTGAGGAGTCCTACGATAAGAAGAAACTACCATCTAGTACTTTCTGGTTTTCCATGGTCGTTTAGCTTCAATTAAGTCATGATCTCAACCATTAAAATTACTATCATATCCATAAAAACCCCTTCCGATTAGTTATTTAATTATCATCATGGGGGATTTATGGAGATTGTAGTATTTAGCAGTTGAATTTATGAGTTCATATAATCTAGACCATTACTGAAAACTTAGAAACACTCAATGACCGTTTTATCCTAGTATTGGGACTCCTCAACAATATGAATCCATGATCCCGCATGTTGAACTCCAATCTAGGATCTTTATAATTAAAGTAAACTAATATTTTGTAATCATAAAGAACTATACTAAACAAATTACTAA